CCCCAAAACCCCAAAACCCCAAAACCCCAAAACCCCGAGCTTTAAATCTAATATTGCAAATCTTATTAAGAATATACTATGGGAGCTTGTTGTACTAATAGACCTATAAATCCAGTTGAAGAAGGACTCAATACTCATGTTGGTCCAAATAAGAAGAAAAGGAACGATCTTGATAAAGCAATGAACTTGTTGTTTAAGAGAAATAGTTCTTCAATGACTCTTAGCCTCAGGTTTACGGCTAGAGAGCTCCCCACCATGGATTCAGGATCTAAGACGGACTCGTTTGCCGTGATTTATCAGTCGAATACAGACCCTGAACAAGGAGAAGTAGGCAAGTGGGTAGAAGTTGGAAGGACTGAAGTTATTATGAACACCAATGAGCCAGAGTTCATCAAGACTGTCCAAGTAGAGTACCACTTCCAGGAAGATCAAGAGTTGATGGTAGCTCTTTATGATAGTGACAAGTTTAATGACGAAGAGATTTCTCTTGAAGACTCAGAGTACATTGGACAAGCAGAGTTTAGACTTCAGACTCTGGTCTCCAATGCAGACAGAGAAATAGAGTTTCCACTCTTCAGTAAGAAATCAAGCCAAGAAGGTGGAAAAGAAGGGGAAGGAGAAGGAGAAGAAGAAAAGCATGCTGAAGAAGAAACTAAAGAAGAAGACCAGACAGCTAAAGGATTCGTCAAAGTTCATTTTGAGGAAGATCTCAGCTGCACCAACCAAGATCTCAAGCTTGTTATATCTTTGCATGAAGGTAACTTTGCTGAAGATAAGGCTTATTTTATTGAAATTGAGAAGGTTAATCCAGATTCTGCTGAAAAAACAGTCTCCATTTTCAAGACAGAGAAGGTCACATTTCACAGTGAATCTTTGACACAATTTAAGGATATCAACATTCCTTTGGATTGATTCTTATTTATTAAGAACACTGTGATCAATGAAAAGGAAATTCCACTCAAATTGGTTGTCAAGCAATATATCCCTTCAGGAGAACACCAGAAAATTGGAGAGATATCCACAACTATTGGAGATCTTCTAGAAGGGGATTCTGAGATTAAACTAGAAGTCAAAGAATCTGAAAATACTTTCTCTTTGAAGATAGAGGAGTCAGAGTTGACTAAGGTGAACTCCTTCTTAGACTACATTACCAATGGGTGCCAAATGGCCTTAGTAGCTGGAATTAGTTTTGGAGCTTCAAACAAGACTGGAGGTCCTGATGGCAAGAACCTGCACTCCACTGAATTGAAGGACAACTACTACTTTATTGCGACTCAGCAGATTGGAAATATCTTGCTCAATTTTGATTCAGACAAGCAAGTCCCTCTATATGGATTTGGAGCAATTATTGATGAAAGATATTACAAAACTAATGTTTCTAACTGTTTCGCTTTGAATGGAAACAGCTTCAGACCTGAAGTTTTTAATGTTGCAGGCATCCAAGCTTACTACATCAATGCTATCAACAACATTGAGTTAGGAGAGGCTACTTTGCTCGCTCCAATGCTTCAAAGATGGAATGAAATGGTGTCTTTTGAGGTAGAAAATAACATAAGGAAGTACTACACTTTCTTGATCCTTACTGATGGAGCAATCCAAGATAAAGACGAAACAATAGAGCAGATAGTCGCTTCGACTAAGCTCCCAGTCTCAGTGATTATAGTAGGAATCGGTAATGGAGATTTCTCAGATATGGAATTCCTTGATTCAGATGGATCCCCTCTTTTCTGCCAAAAAACTCAGACATTTGCTAAGAGAGATAATGTACAGTTTGTAAAATATTCAGATAACAAAGGAGACACTCAAAAGCTTGCTAGCGAGACCTTGCAGGAGTTGCCCCGCCAAATGTTGGAGTACTTCGAAGGCAAAGAGATCGAACCTAAGGATATGAAGCTAAATTCTCAGAACAACGAGGTTAAGGACTATAGCTCTCATAAGGCTATGCAGCTAATTTCAAATGAATTCTTCAAGACTCAAGTCAATTCAGATAAGAGACAAGAAATATTGACTCAGGGAATTGCTGACCCAGACACAATTGATTACGAGAGTCTGGTTGATGGATATCAGAACAAGCTGAAGATTTAATAAAATCGTGCATATTTAGATTATTCAATAGAATTACTATATCACGGGGTTTTGGGGTTTTGGGGTTTTGGGGTTTTGGGG